GGCTGCGTGTGCAGCTGGCAAATCTAAGCGAAATTAAAAAAAAGAGTATGATCAAAGGCGTTGAAGCTCGTTGTGCTCAAGCCAGATCGTTGACCGTCGTCGTCAGGCCCTTGCCAGTAAAGGTTGTCTTGAACTGCTCCGGGACTGCATACTCAGTCTGAAGGTGAAAAATAAAAATAATAAAAATTAAAAATAAATGTAATTTAGGGCTGCGTAGAAGCTATCCAGTATTCACTCACATAGTCGCCATCACTAGAAGGTACGAGGATATTCATTTCAGATGATTTGGCTGTGATAATTTCGGCAGATTTAGATTCTTCACTCAGGTAAACTTGGCATCCGTCAGTTTTGTCGATGTTTATAGTCGGCATAAGCCCGGTTACCTAAAGTGTTTTCAAGACAGAATAATAGACGGGGATGAAACGTTAGTAAACTGGAATTGTAAACAAAATCCCAGAAATTGTCATGCCTTATAAAGTTAAACATCTGTGAGAGATAGGATTGCATAGTGCAAGTGATCAATGTCGAAAAATAAACGGCTCGAGTCAACAGCGTCGTTAGGGTTCAAAAGCGGACTTTTCCTGTTACTATAGAACAAAAGTGATGAAAACCTTTTAACCTGATGAATGAATCTGATCAAACCGGACTGCGATTACGCTTGCTTGTGTTCCCTGCATAAACGCAAAAAACAGGCCACCCAACTCAGCTCTCAACAGTGTCCATGCGTGACCGGCGTAACGCCCCTGCCAAGAGGGACTGTGTAACGTTCTTTTAAATGCTATTGGTCTGGGCTCCATTACCTTAACAAGAACCTTAATATGCACACGTAGGGGCAAAGTTCACGACAAAGTCTACGTGTGCACATCGCCAAAAATCCACAAATTCATTGAGCGCAGTAGAGCTGAACACGAAGGTTCAATGGTTTAACAACAACTGGGGGCATTGCATGTGTACGCGTGAAAATCCGGTTCATGTCAATACACGCTAAACTTGGATCATAAGCACCAAACCCATAAGACATTTGTCGTGAACTTGCCGACTCAAGCAACGACAAGCGTGTATGAGTTGTGGTGTTGTTTGTGTGAGCGAACAAGCAACAAAACCTGTCGAAATTATTAACCAATTTCCGGGACACAAACTGGAGGCGTGACTTCCAAATCAATGTTTTTGTCTGTACTAACTGTGGTTTCAAAACGTCAGTAGTTTGCGAGAGGCTGTGTGAAAGTCATGACCTATGCAGCCTGAGCAACGAAACGACAAAGGCATGGCTCTAAAAGGCACGTCTGAAGAGTAACAGCTTCTAATACAGTCTTGTCCCCAGCTGATTGGCTAGCCACCAAGAATGACTCATCTGAAAAAGGCGCAGTTGGCCTCCACTGAGTTTTGAGCAGCAGTCGTAGGAAAGGTTGGTGGCTACGGGTATGCAGGCCGGGGAGATCGCGAAAAATAAACAACCTGGCGGCCGATACTATAGAAGGTACAAGCATGAACAAACATGGAGAGTGCTGTGTTCTTAGCTTATGTCGACAGCAGTAATCAAATAAGAGATACCGATAAAAACAATTATGGCACCCGGAAAAGGGGCGATGAGAACATTTCTTCCAAAACGGGCAAAATAGGGAAGCACAATCACCTTGATGCTGACGGGCTATTGAACACAACAGATGTAGAACGGAAGTGAGATAAGTGCCGCACAGGCCGCCACCGTTATCTGAGGGCAGTGATGGTCCTTATTTATGGGGAAAGAAGTGCCACCTAAATAGTCCGCGTTAGGCAATGGCTTTATACTAGTTCAGTCGCTGCAACCGAGCCGAAGAGTTTCAGTTCATTAAACTCAACATGTTTAGGGATATATGAAGTCGAACGAGAGAGGGATAAACCCATCCATTTCGGATCAAGCGCTTATGTTCCTCGCTATACCAGATCGGCTAAGTTTCCAAACTACCACAACAAATCTAGCCTCGACTTGTCGGCCGACAAAAAAACTGTTCTCCTATAGAATGACATTTAGACTTTAGTGGTCCCTGGGTACAGTCTTTATGACAGATCTCATAAATACGAGGCCGAAAAACTTCTAGTTTGAAGTCCAGAACATGCATTTTGGATGGAACATTCAGACTTATCCGCCGCTGAGCCACTGACAATGCCATACATCAGACGATTGTACGAAATTCTGGAGTATCGAAAGATAAAACGGCAACTTCCTGCTAGTCGGAATGAGCAGAGAGAGAAAGAGAACGAGGGAAATATAATTCAATTGAAAAGGTTCAAAAGAAGTACTGTCACACAGCAGCTGCATACACGGAACGCTCTGAAAGCTGAAAACCAAAGTGTCTTCAAAATATGTTAGACAAAGCGGTCGCGGAGAAAAGAACAGTTAGCTAAAACTGGGAGTGAAAACTGACTACGGCCTGCATATATGGGCTACCTGACAATGACATGCCCCACACCACTTTTTTCTGCCCAGTCGGTTAAATGTATCACTGCGAAAGAGGATGGGCCAGACTGTCAAGATCGGCCACCGCCGCCAAACTGGAAAAAGTGCCATTGCTTCTTCAACTTCAGCAGTTTGAAAATAAAGGCAAGAGTTTAGCTCGCATCACCCTGTGGCTGCAAATTAAGACGCTTTATATGAGGACTGTGTGAATGAATTGAAAGATTTTGGCGACAGAACAGACACAACCCAGCATGGGGTACAGGCTGTTAGCGGAGAGAGCCGGGGAAAGAAAGTTAGCACTAATGATGCAATATCTGGGTACAACGTACATGCTTTTTCGAAAATTACTGATGGTATTTTCGAAGGGTTCGGACCAAATTCTTCTGACATATTACAACTTCCACGGATGATCTACCTTTTGTTAAGTATAAATTTGAACAAAATTAACTTTTACACATCGAAGAGGCGAAACCCTGTTCTATGTTTCACGCGTGCATATGAGAATTTAAGTGAAGAGACGCTTCGCCTGTTGCGTCTTCTTTATAGTTGCGGTGGAAGGGGGCAAGTAACTTCCCACGCAAGGCTTAACATTCCTTTGGAGTCACGTTTGTATCCTCCCACTTCACTGCACTACTAAACCTATTACCCGGGGTCCACGCTGTGCGCTTACGTCTTAACGCCTTTTGGCGCACAGCAGGAAGCCACTGTTGCAAACAACGCTAGGGTAACAATTAGACGGAACACGTGTAACAAAAGCAGCATAAGAAGTACCAGAAGCAACAGCCTAACCAATTACCTGAACTTGCACACGCTGGCAATTCACAACATCGACCGACGAGATTACACTCTCGAACAGAAGGGCCGTCTTATTGCAGTTGTCTATGCAGGGAAAATACAAAAAAAAACAGTTTAGTCAATGGCGGGCGCCTTATAAAAACGGGCCAGACCTAGAAGGAAAGTGATGCGCGCATACGGCTATAAAAGAATGTGCTGCGTGAAGGTGAATGCACATAAATATACAGAGACAACAGGCGCAGAAATAGGCACACATAGGTAAGTCAGTTTTGGTTGTTTGCCGAAGAGTTATGCTCGGTGGAGGCCCTGAGGGTGTGAATGGTAGCTACTGCCAATAAAAGTGGGGGATAGGGGACCTCAGGAAACATGGAAAGATAGAAAGGGAATGCAGCCTGTTCGATACCGGTTTCACCTATTGACGAATAGACAAGGCCAGTATTGATACGCAGAGAAAATGCATGGTTCGGTCTTCATCAGTGCGAGTGGACTGTAGTTAATTTGGGGGTAAATATGTGTTGTTCAAAGTGGCAGGTCTTCAATGTCTACGAGGAGGGGGCTGATGCGTAACACACAGGACAAACAGGAAAGACAGTCGACCATTCAAAAGCATCAGCCATAGTACGTACATGAAATCATCGAACCAGGGCGAGGTACTTAACGCCAACAGCGTGGTGGCAGTTTGAGTGTCACGGCTTCGGAATACAAATGTTAAGTTTCAGGCGCCAAAAGTTCGCGTATTGACAAGGAGTGGGGGGGGAGGGGTTGACTGTGTGCGGCTACACGCCAAACAGGTATAATTTAGATAAAGATATCGTCCCAAATACTTTTGTATTTGGTGTGAACAAAACCAACCTACAAGTTGCCGATAGAAACAGGCGACTAATTCCCGTGAGTCAAGTTATCATATTAGGAGTCGACAACGATGATGACATTTCAATAATTAACGACTCGGTAGCGGACTAGCGAGCAATCATTACATCAACATGACATTCACACATCAGGTTCAAAATTATGTTGGAAGTAGAATAGCTTTTTAGAACCTAAAATATCCTTTCTTTGAGTATAAAGTTTGGAGAAGACTTGATTTGCTGCCGAAGGAGGGCAAGAGGGAATAGTTTACTTTTGTTTTCTACGAAGTATATTTGAATTTATAAGGGCGTCGAACATCGAGAGGAATATGTACCTAAAAGCCGGCACCTTGCCTATCCTAAATATGAGTTTGTATTGCACGGTTATCAATATTACAACCCCAATTAAGTCATCTTTCCTAATCGAAAATACATCTCAGAAATTCGGTTAACATTTCATAGATCGGCTAAATGCCCGATAGACGCGAGGTTTGTAAAAACTGAGATGTCGTATTCGGCCCGTAGACACCCTTTAAGGATCACGAAAACCATCCGAATAGAAAAGATTCGGGAGACGATGCCTTCCGTACATTTTCCATTCGGCAGCAGCCTGGCAGTAATTAACCCGGAAGGGCGTCTTTCCCGGCTAGGATAAAGATCGAAAGCACTACCCTGCCCAACGATTATGGATAACTTACAGATTTTGTGACTCCATTAATTCGTGATACCACAGACTGTAGATCACCAAAGTTGGAGGCTAGCGTGACGATAAGTCTCAGTGCTGTCAGGGTGCAAACTCAAAACCTGAAGCTTCCTGTAAGGCCTTGCCAGCAATCCATTAAACAGCATAGTTGAACAGAATGGGCGAGAGTATACAACGTTGTCGCGCGTTAGACCCAATAGCGGACGGTTGGGAAAGACTGTTGTGGACTGGAACCCTCACAAAGGTGAAGCGATAGTAAATCCCCTGACGATTTTGTCGGTAAACCATCTAGGGCAATTATCCACCACAAAGACTCGCGATGGACGGAGTCGAAAGCAGCGACGAAGGCAACGAAGCAGACGACTGTCGGCTGTTGGTTGCTATGGCAGAACTTAGGAATGCGTCTCAATATAAATAGTTGGTTCAGACACGCACAGTCTGGAATCGTCTGAGAAGCACAATAACAAAGACCTTCGTAGCAACATCGATGGCGTTTATGTTGTGTTTGCTCTCACATATTGTTCTATACCCCTTCGTGAAGAAAGGTACAGGGATGTTGGGGTCTTAGTCACCAAAAACGACCTCATGTATCCACATCCATTCAATTACCTCACGAAATCGGCGCCAGGGTGTCGACACAAGACTTTTGGTAAATAACACCCTTCCAACGGTTGAGGCCTCCTCCACATAGGTCGCAGTAAAGTTAAATAGTCCTGCCTGTTATTGCTAGTCCAATTTTTCGTCACGGTTTTCGGAATTGACGGCTCAAGCCCTCTGGACAGACAACTGTAAGTTCTTTCTTTTATCCAATAAATATTGTCACTAGATGAATCCAAGAACGCTGTCAGTTGCCGCATCGACTGATAGCTTTAATAGTGACCAGTACCTACGGCCTCCTCCGTCAGCTCGGGTCATAAAACCAGACCGGATTTCTCTGCTCAGGGTTTCCCTTGTGTTGGGTTGTTCAGGTTTTTTGAACATCAAGGCGTATTGCATATGACATTTTTGGTGCGGATGAAGTCAGCTTTTAGGTGTGTGCAAACGAGAACAGGATGTGACTCATGCAAGCTACTAATTTAAGCACTACTTTCGATTAGATATCAGTGGAGGAACCTCGAACCGATTAGAATGTGACCGACTTCACTGACCATATGACCGTCATCTGAACATCAGGTCAGCGGACCTTGGCGAAGATGATAGTAGCGTGCGTTGGTGACAAATAATCGGTTTTGGTTAACAAAGTTCGGCATTCTCTCATCAGTCACATCAAGACAAGGGCACAAAGCGACCAGAAAGGTAACTGTTTGCAGTGGCGCCCTGTTCCGTCCAGGGATTCAAACCCTCGGCAACAATCAGCAGATCATGATGAGGTGAACTTTCAAATACTTATTGAAGTTGCGAGTAGGTTTTTATCTCGCTGGTCGGCAGGTGACGTTAGCGCGTATACTGGAACGACAGAGGTGTTCGTACAGTGAACCTAAAGTCGCATATAAGCCATCCGGTCATTGACTAGTTTCCATGTATGTTTCGCTTATTACGAGGGGGATAGCCACACTGTGCCTATAAGGAGAGTTGCGTGGACCGTTGTGATAGGGGATTCGGACTTCAGACAGGCAACAGACATCTACTTCGCACTGATGCAGACGGCGCGTCATCAGGCTTCGGGTACTAAAGTCCAGGGACGTTTGCAAATCTCAGAGCCTAATACCAACATTCCGTCTCCAACTTCGTAGTGCAGATCGCATTCTATTCGCCCGCGATACCGGCCAAAGATTGAGTAGTGGGCCACTTCCCATAGGCGCCATAGCACGGATTGTAATACTTGATTCAGAAATTTTCTGATGTACCTTGGAACCTTTGAATTCAAGCAAGTCTCTATCGATCGCACGGATTGCTTGTTCGAGGACACCTCTTCTACCGCTTTGGCTCAAGAACCCAAACAAAACGCAGCGGTGGCAAGCAAACCTATGTACTGATGGTCAAAAATGGTTACGGCACAGTGCCGAAGTCGAGCTTTGATTAATTTAATAAGATGACGTGACAGACATCAGCCCTCTGCCCACTAGTAGGATCGTCAATACTGTTTCGTGACTGCTTATTCGCCAGACCCGAGAAGCTGCTTATTTTGCAGCTAACCTTCTTCGAAGGCCGTTCTACCCTTCGCAACCTGTGGATGCGCCGGGTGCTCAGCAGCTGGTTAATGGGCAACCCAGTGAGCGTTGCGTGCTGAAAAATGCGTCCCGTACTCTTCGCGACTGGGATCTATCACAAGCTTTTAGGAGGGCTTCTAGGGTCTATGGAGTCTGTATGCTAAGAGTATTACAGGATAGGACCAGGACCAACTGATTTTATGAGTTTTGCTGGAGCCCCAACTGGTTTACGTGCATTCTCACATTTTCCGAACTTGTAGATACTTGAAAAATTACGTAAAATGCCTTTTTGATGATTCCCTGGAGCAGGGCCCTTCTTCTAAAATACAGTTCACTGCACCTAACTCTCCTTACTTGGAGAAACGAAACTCACCTACACACGAGGCACACAAGTCCCAGGCAAAACTGATGGTTTGTACGCTTGGGCAGAGTGTTTCCACGTGGTGGTCTGCCAAATGCTTATGCCATGAGTCATCGTGAAGACTTCTCAGTTTAAGATCCAATTTTACAGGTCATGAGGCTA